CCTTTATGATAGGCATCAACAACAAAACCTGGGCGAAGGTTACTAATGCGTAATGATTTCGTTGATAACGATAATCAGTACGACTTCGAACATTTGACGTTTCCATTGAGACAACCTCACCGATATATTCACATATGAACTGCTAAAACTTTTTTTTGTTGTACTTGCCATGTAAGTTATGATGATCAACAGCATGAATGATACTGATGACATGCAAGATGCTAACATGTACCATGCACAATATATATATATATATATATATATATATATAGTAATAAATTTACTCGAATTTATTAGGCACAAAGCAAAAACAAATGCTGCGGAAATGTTGCAGCTGTACAGAAGGTTGATATAAAGGATGAGGAAATTGTTCATTTTATTCAAAGTATATTACAGAGAAGTACTTAGGCGAAGGAATGTCGTGAAATGCGACTTGACAGATTAGATTTCAGAAAGAAATACATTCTAATTGAAAGGACTTTACAAATCTTTATTTAATCAAGAATGTTCTATGAAACAAGTTGCAGGCGTCTAATCAAAAGAATGTACCTCTCCAGACGTTCTTGCAAAATCAAAAATTAAAAAAAATGAAGACATCTCATTAACAAACTAACTTTAAGTAAATATAGCAATATTTCAACAGTCGTCCCTTTTTATGATATTCAGTTGATAATAGTAAGAGATAACACGAGGTAATGATGTGTTAACTAATCACTCAACAAAATGTTGAGGTTTGTCGTTGTAATATCATAGATACCTAATAACAACCAACAACCAGGCTAAATAAAATTGTATGAGCACTTACTTGTCCTTTATCAATATTAACATCCGTTTTCACACCAATACCACAACCATTCATCGTTTGGAAAGTTTGCAAACGTTCAACACATTCGCGCCGAAATAATCGTTTATTAGTACAGAGGGCATTTCGTGGACAGCTACTGCCACATTCCATCAGTATTACTCTGGAATAAAAGCGGAATGGTAAAGATCAAACATGAAAATTTTCTTCTTAACAAAATGGTGAAATCTGCAACAAATACACGGAATACACGGGAAACAAAGATTTTTAGTGTAAATACAAAAACTTGCCGATTCAAGCATTCATCACTTTCACCACAACATCCAGAAGAACAAGAGCATTGCATCTGTTCAATTTTTGGATAGGCATCAACGATCACATCTACAATCACTCAGATATTTCGATTCAATTCAAGGAAGCAAATAATTTTTCGGATTTTAGCAAAAAGCTATAGTAGGACGATAGAGGGCTCATTCTGAGGCCGTTATGGGTGATTGCATTGTAAAATAACCATATTAATGCCAAAAAAAAGTGCAGACAAGCGAGAACGTTATAGATCAAAAACAAACTCTAATAATCCAGTCTCAACTGCAAAAACTTCAAATGAAAGAAGATAACTAACTTTGTTTCAATTTGATGTAATCACCAGGTGAACGACGACTTTTTTCACATACTTTTACAGACGATGTTGTAGCACTGAAAAATCAAGCGACTGAAACAACACTTGGATTGGAAAACAATGAATGTAACAAATTATTGGTAGAAAGCAAGATCTCTTCCCGTCAAGCATGACATATATCAAACTCATACATCAATTATGGCTAGAAAATGAGGACCACAGCGATTCATCCAATAGCTGACGGTATTAATGCATTATTGTTAGATTCGATTTCAGAAGTAGCATAAATTCATGAATTTGAATGGATATGGCAAATATTTTGATTTCAAGAGGGGAGAAATGAGTTGAATATCATCCCACCTTGCAACAAAAGAATCACTCTTTCTTGATTTTGCTAACTTCCTATCCCCAAACCGACACACTTTCGAAGTATTTTTTTCTCGTTTCGATTTTTCGAATCGATTCCTTTCAATTAATCTGAAAAAAAGAACAACTGCAAATGACAGGCAAAATGTTAAATAATTTCAAGTTTCCTTGTAAAGATAGGGGACTTTCCTGTGAACAAACGTTTGATCTTTCTCGACTCTTCTAAACTTCTGCAGTTTACTGGCTCAATAAATTATTACACTAGCAGCTTATTTATTCAGAGGAATGCCAGTTCCTCAATATCTAACTTCTTTAAGTTCTCTAAAGCTTAAATATAACGAGCTTTCTACATCAAGTGTTTATTGTATAAGTGCCTTAAATCACTTTAGAACCTTAACTTTAATTTCAATTTCAATTTCAAAATGGCAAACCTTCGAGTAACTTCCTTCCAGTTCAAGCGGTACCATGGCAAATCCCAATGCTCCCGATCGCCTAAATTCAGTTCCAGATTGGCGAATTTCTTTCCGATTTGTTCAATGACGATTTTTAGTTGCTCATTCACTTTACGCTTCATATCCAGATGAAATTCTTTGATTTGATCCACCATATTCTCATCCGGACATTCTAAATGTGGACTCGACTCCCCAGCAGCAACATTCGCAGCAAATTCCTGTTGTTCTTCACCAATTCCTCCGCTAATTACCTTCTTTTTCTCTAATTTTCTGGTAGGGAACTTCTTTTCAGCTATATATTTTTTCCCCTCGTGTTGTTTTTTTCGCCCCTTACATCTTCTTTCTTCTGTTTGCACTTCAGGTCCCAAATTTCCTGACGACAAAAGTGGTTTCATTTGCGTTTTTAAGCTATTTGCACCTGTCTTTTCAACAGCAGACAATTCATCAAGATTGGAACTCCCCATGGCAACAACATCTGACCTAAGTTCCACTTTTCGCCGTTTCATTTTCCGCGCTGGCTTCTCTAAAACCGATTCGCTACAGTCTTCCACTTTTCGTTTACGAGTCTTTCGCTTCTTTCCTGAAATCCCGCTTCTAAATTCTGGAATTTCACTTCCAACGCCCCGGTTTTCATATGATTGTTCTTTTGATGCGTTAGTAAATTCGGTTTGCACTGCAACTTCATGTTCTGGTTCTTTCGATTCCATTGCTTTATTGTCACAGATAGTAGCAGCGCTAATAATATTTGCAGTAGGAAATGTTGTAACAGAAGAAACAACATCGGCAGATGTGGTCACAGCACTACTAGCACCAATATCAGTAGTAGTAACAGTAGCAGTAGTGCTAAGAGTACAACTATCAACTGCAGTGGTATCAATAGCAACTTTTGACTGTATAGCACTAGCAAACTGCTTGCGTTGTTGCGGATCCATATGTGACATTAGTTGTTCCACCAGATCTGTAACATTCATTGCTGGAGTAATTGCTATTTTCGGAATATCATCGTCTGATCCTTTCTTTGGTTCATGATTCCGCTCGGAATTTTTTGCCTCATCTTCCATTACTGTATCCAATTCAGCAGTACTCAAAACAGCATTATCGAGTGGCGTTTTTGTTATAAATGATGGTGGTTCTTCCGTTAATGGTGAACCACTTTCTGCTTCCATTTGATGGAAAGGTATCAGACGTGGCATGTCGGAATAATCATCGGAACAATTCGCTGAATCTGTTGTTGATTGTGCTTCCTTACTTTTATTCACTGTAGCAGCAATCTAAAAACTGCAGAAATTCCAGCAAATGAAAGAATCAGTTACAATATCGCTGAACAAGAAATGATGCTACCGGACTAGTCCCTACATTCCAGACTCCAAATTCTCTTTCTTAAAACACATTCCGGATGATCTTCATGTCAATTTCTCAAACACTCGACAGTCATACAAGCCTTACTAAAATTACTCACTTGAAATCTAAAAACTTTCGTAAACTTCTGCGGAAATGTTTTTCAAAACCAACCGAAGGAGGAGGAGGAATGTATGGTGTGGGTGGTGTGAACGGATCGGCTGGTGGCGAATCTGCTATACTTTGGATTCCACTATCTGCTGTAGGGGAACAATCCGCCACAACGTTATAACTGTTTTGATAATGGCAAGATGGCATTCCACCATTTAACTCAACCTGGAAACAAGCATTTTCATGAATTCCATGATTCGCATAGATCAAAACACAATGGTAATACAGACTGTGTGGATATGTGACAACACAAAAATCTGTACCTTTTTTATTAAATAAAATATGTGGTGATGAATCAAAGGTGAATAAAATAATGGCCCATGTTGAGGAGAGATATGAAAGCTATTCACAGCATAACCAACTAATGCTAACTTAAAAGCATGAAATAACAAAATTCTCGAAACAATCGATTCTAACAACATGCAATTCCGTACTGCATGATTCAGCAAAAGTGCAACAGCATTAACGTAACGAATGTGATCCGGAGGATTTTAACTAAGATGTAAAAGATTATGATGGCAAATAGCCAACCTGCACATGTGTCTGATAGTTAGCCTGCATTGATGTACATGTCGAAGAATCTTGCATATGCATCATCGTAGGTGTACTGCTGTGATACTGATGTTGCTGTGGTGGTTGAGGTGGCATTATATGCTGCTGGGCATAATGATTAGAAGTTATCATTACTGTCTTATCAGTTATATGTTGCGATTGCTGTTGCTGATGCATAATTGGAGGATTCAGATCAACATGATGCGTCATGTCCTACAAGCATTTAAATCAGGATGGTAGGAGAAAAAGAGATTACTGAAACAAATCAATGAAGAAATTTATTTGGCAGGAAAAATGCTTAACATCCAAGTAAATATCTACAAAAATGTCTTTAATTCTGATCGTTGCAAATATACAGCTCTGGCTACTAATGTTCAGTATTTTATAATCGGAAATTTCATAAATGCTCTCTCCTTACTGACTCATGTCAACCGATGTAGCGCCATCCTAACCATTGGATGGATTAAGTCAAATGGTCTCATTCGTTAGCACTGTTCATTGTTATCGAGAATTCTACATATGACTGCATCTCAGGTGCAGCCGTAAATTTAACCGAAATACACACTATGCTGAATAATCAAACAATCTTAGTTTAATAAGCAGAAAATATATAATAGATTCTCTAGACTAAGAAATATCAGTGACTACCTGAAGCAAATCGATATCTGATTTGCCGGATGAAAAGCTTTGCGTTATGGAAGAAATAGGTGGAAAAAACGATGTGGTGCTCGTACATGGCATCTGACAATCGTATGGTTCATTCGCGTTCATTTGTGGTACAACCTGAAATTAATAAAGCATCTTATTTCCGTTACTTTATGATATGTGGGAAACAGAAAGGTTCATTCGTGCAGTTCATGTGACTGAATCATACGTATAAGATCACACAGATTCTTTTCCTTCCAGTAAATACAAAATTACCCAGTAATATGCCATAAATTGATATTTAATAGAAAACCTGCGATGGCGATGGTGACTCGAAGGATCCGCTACTGACATTCGAGCGCGGTGGCGCATGTAACCAGCCATCAGTACTACAGTGTTGCGGTTGCTGTTGCTGCTGCGGTTGAAGATGATGGTGCTGAACAGGTGGCGGTGGTGGTGGTTTCGGGGGTGCTGGATGTTGTACCGGTTGCGGAGCTGGTGGCGCCAAATGTGCCGAGGTACAAGGTGTGGGTTGTATTCGTAAAACACTTGGGACCACCAGTTTTGGTGCAGCTGTTGCAAGAGCAGCCGACTGCTTCTGGATGGTTGCAGGTACAACATGCAAGGATTTTGGAACACTACCTGATGGCACCGCTACTGAGGCTGTACTACCGACTGCTGCATTTGAGACCTGAATTAACATCCTTTAGGTACTGCATTTGACTAAGAATTCTCCGGAATCAACCAAATATCAGGTTCCAGTTGTATTTTGTATTAACTACTCAGAAACGTCCAGTCCACACTTTTAGTTCGGAATCTCCTAATATTCCCTATTACTTCACTGAGATGTGATCGGATCAGTTCATGCCTCAAGTGATCGATGAATATCTTTTTACTGCTTAAACTACTCAAAGAAACCTTTACGTAACTGTTAACATACAAATATGTCTTTAGGAAAAAAAAACAAAAGAACATGAAAACATTGCATAAACAATGATAGCGCTTATAATTGAGATATATAAACACTAATAACCTTCGTCACGCACTGTTATGTCTGTTTACTTAGTTCGGACCATTCCTTAATCCCTAGTCTTCAAAGATTTACTAAATACTTCTTTTATAAAAAAGCGCTACTATATTATCCGTTATTCAAATTATGAATGTTTTTGAGTTTCTTTTCTATTATAAATCCCTCTTACACGTCACTGCTTACTGCAGTTATAATAGCTACAAGTGGCTAATATATCACACAATCTTCCTAACAATAACTTTTGCAAGGCATACCTTATTTCTAAACTACAAACTTTGTCTGTTCACTATAAATGTAGGAAAAAAAATACATGATTCAGTAATATAAAGTTATATATTTTCTGGTTTTGGAAAATCAGAAAATTCCTAGAAAATAAGATAAACAAACCGTTTGACCATTATTATTATTATTGGTAGATGAAGTGGACGGTCGAATAAGAAAGCCAATAGTACAGTAGGATGAATTACTGCCACCGTTGGCTGCGCTACGAAGTACACATGGTACCGCTTCCAATCCCATTCTATTGCTGTCGTAAGATTAACATCACTTTTACATATCGTTGTTTATCTGCAAATGATCAAACATATTACATAAAACTGTTTTCAAACCATGACGAATTGATTTTAATACGCTTGCGTCAAATTACACGCAAAAAAATGTATTGCTTTACTAATATCACGTAAAATCTTTATGAAAAGGACTAATAATAACAGAGCGAAAAAAAGACTTCCATCCAAAAAGTCCAACACTAGTTAAGCAAAAATGGATAGTATAACTTCTTTACTAAAATATAATCAAGTTGGATAAACAAGTTATAAATGCAAAGAATATATAGTGGAATACTATATTTTAAAAGAGACAAGGATGGAGAGGGGGCGAGAGAGAGAGAGAGAGAGAGTTATATTCAAGAGAAAATTTTTTTTACTACGAATACATTTCGACAATCACTTCAACCATTTTTTGTTTTTGTAACAACCATTTTTTGTCTAGAAAATAACAAACATATTGTCTTACAAATTTATCAAATAAAAATGGTGAAGAACACTTAAAAAGATTTCCATTTAAACATATTTTTCTTTAGATTTAGGAATATACTGAATTTAAAATCGAATTTAAATTTAAACATGAATTTAAAATTCATGAAATTTCTTAATACTTCATTCATATTGTTTGTAAAGTGCATAAAATTGAATTATAAAAGAAAAAAACTTCATTTAGAAAAATAAATGAAGTTTGCAATGACAAATAACGAATCTATTCAAGTGTGCGAATAATTAAATAATGACTTCATCGAAATCATTATAACAATGAATTATTAAATGCGTATTACTATCACCACAATTCACCCGTCTATCCTTCATATATTATCGCTATCGTTATTGTAATCATTATTACTCCTATTAAACATGCTTTGTCGACAGTTTTGGATATCACTGTCATTAGTCATCAGTAATTTGCATTGATTAATATTACTGTCAATGCCACAAATCACGCTAATGAATTACTCTCGAAATAACAAATTTTTATTTCCAACCTTTTTTCGCGTTAAAATCATTTAATGATATTGGAAATCATAAAGTTTATCATATCCTAACTTAAAGTTTTAACAGAGAAAAAAAATAGGTTTATAAGGCATGACCGAAACATT